ACATATGTAGTAGGTACACGGTTTATATAATAAGAAAAACACTGAAGTAGTGTTTTGCTGCACTTTGCTATACTTATATAAGTAAGATCCAAGAATGCTAGATATTTCAGGATATTATGTCTTTCTGATGTTAAAACTGCAATGGTTATCAAAAAAAATAATTATGTTATTGTATAAAAGTTACATTTCCATGCTTAATGTTCAGATTTGCAAGATTTAATGATCACACGTTCAGGTGATTTTCATTTTCATCCTTATCAACACATTTCATCATTACTGTTAATGATATTGTTTTATCACAATTTCGAATTGATTTTACTGTCGTTCTTCTTATTACTATCGTTAACGTTATCATTGTTATTCCGTGGCATCGGCTGGTAAGGACCAAGGAGTAGTTTTGCTCCTGAAATCCAGCAAAAATCCAAACATATCAGGAAATTCAAACTACTAAAAACCGTTAAAAGCAAAATAATTACTCTTTGGAATTTATTGAAATTGCGTTTCGTTACATTATTTAATCGATAGCAAGTCTAACCAAACTTTACTGGATTGGTAACTGGCTTCTGAATAAAATCGTTTAATTATCAGTCAAATTTGCCTTGAATAATCTGCAGAATAGGTAAGCAATGTCATATTTACCGGCTGTTCTATTTATCCTTAAATAGTATATCAAGGATAAAACCGATATGCGAATCTGAGCCTCGCCAGGGCTATGCCCATGAGGGGAGCCCGGCCTGTGTCGACTAATGCCGACTCGCTAACGTGTGTTAGCTGGTGCTGACTCGGCTGAGCTTAGTCCTTACCCGCCGTGGTGCCCAGCTACAGCAGTGACCTCCAGGTGACAATTGCAACTTCTCGCGCCTGGGCGGGGCGTCGACCCCTCGGATGAGAGGCCGACAGGTTACCACTCTACTAACCCGGAACCCCAGTTCTATAGAAAAAAAAGGTGACTGATGACCTGCATATATGGCTTAATTCATAAAATAGCCCAAGCATATTAAGTAATGATATTATCTTAAGAGTTAGAATGTGATACTCTTCATAAGAATTAGTCATTGTTTTTTTTTCATATTGACCTGACGTTGATTTTTCATAGATTTTTCCTAACAAATGTTAAGTTCTTCGAAAATACTCTCATAATGACAGGTGAGCCAACTTGACAAGGGCTTAAACAGTCTTCAAACAAGAAACCCCTTCCCTACATGGACATTCCTCAGCCTCTAAAATGGACTAGGATGTCAGCTGGACACTGCTTCAGTTCTTTGTTTATTCATCCATGAAATCGTCCTATTAATTAATTTTGCCTTTAAAATTGACCTAGTAATTAGCTAGTTCCTGATTCTTTATCAGAACTAAAAGTCAAACATCGTCTTTTGGTGAGCCTTTCATTTCCCCAAAATAAGTCAGCTGTCATTCCATGTCTACAGCTCGGCCGAC